AAAATATGAATAAATGATCTTTTCTTAGCATTTTAGAAGAAATATCAGGTTTTGAACGCATTGGCTCATTTAAAACCTCTATCAGTATTAAGATTTTAAAGTCGCTATCGTAACATTATTGGAATCTTGAATTCGTTTAATTTATTTTTACTTAAGACCAGTGTATCGATGTATAGTATTTTTTCAAGAAGTTAATATTTTTATTATAAGATACAAAAAAAAGAATCATTAAGAGACGCATTTATTGATTAATCAACCGCTGATTGCTTTAGGAAATCGACGGATTTAAGAATAACCTTTAATATGACATTGTAGACATTTGGTGGAAATATATATAATGCTTACGAAATATTAGGACTTATTCTTATAGAGAGGTATTCATTCTTTCGCATAAGGCAGTGTTTGAGCATACAATAGTGTGTAGTATAACTTAAAAGCATTTTAAAATCAACTCCACAGTTGCTTCTTATGAAGCTTCATATAATTAGTTTAGATAATTTTCACGTTGTGGCTGTATACAATCCTTTTTGCTGTTCAAATACTATATTAACAAAATGTATCTACATTTTCTTATTACTCTGTTATCCATTTATATAGAAAATTTTAATTAGAAAGTAACGCACAAAAGCACTTTTAAGCTTTAATTTAGCACTTTTAATTAATTTATGTTAGTTTTTAAATCGATGAGTTCAGTATGACTCTAACTGAGATTCCAATATTATTTGATTATAGGAAATCACTATAGGAAATCACTATAGGAAATCACTATAGGAAATCACTTATGTTGTTGACACAATGATAATTATGAATCCTTTAATCATGTTTCTGCAAACATTTTTTTAGACATGGCAATATTTATTGATTTCACGAAAGTTGAAGTCGTGATCCAAGTATTTTGGGTATATCAAGTTTGTAGCAAAAAGCACAATTAAGGAAAATTGAATGCCTTACATCTATTGGTGTAACCACATGCATATGAAACCGCAGGATTCCATATTGCATGTGTAGTATTTCATGGTGGGTTAGGTTATCAATTGTGTTTTATAGTAACAGATATTTATTTTTAAAATTTGGACGTATTCATATACAAATTTTAATAAATTGTAATTTAATGTCAGTGACTAATTTATTTAATAGAAAGTATTCTATTTGATAGAGATGATATCTTTCTACTATAACACAGCAAGTAAATTTGTTAAAGAACTTTCACAGCCAATTAACAAAACTCCAAGTTCGATAATACAAGTCAAGTACGGCTTTGGGTCAGTTGGCTAATGAACAGGGCAGGGTACGAGTTCAACCCTTGGTACTTGTAGTCCCAAAAAATTTTTTACGAATAATTAAATACAAGAAATAGTTCCAATGATGGATATTTAGCAATACTTGAAACAGTTAATTAAAATTCAATTAATTAAAATATGAAAAAGAATTTTTCTTGCTGTAGTTCACTATTTTTCGAAAATGCTCTATTTAAATTTTAAAAAATATACTAAGTGAACTAACTAGTTCACAAGGCCGTCAGCCGTCAGATACACAGGGGGATAAACACGTATTTTGTGTACGTGCCGTAACTGTTGTATACTGTCGGTAGTGTGATTACATCCTCTACGCGGGGGCGGCTAGAAACAGGTCCATAGTATGGTCATGTCTCAACTATGGATGCTGGCTAATTGTAATCGGGCGGACGCAAGCAAAAGCGTCTTAAATTAAAGCTCAAATCCAAGGTGGAACAGCATATGCCGAGAGATGAATGGCCATGGATAGTTGGTCTTTAATATGCGAACTCTGGATACTTGTCAACCTCCAGTTTTAATTAGACTTCCCACGATAAACGGGCTATGTCGTGGGTGACTTTTCAAACCCCGAATTAATCAAACGTTTAATGGATTAATTAAATAAAAATTCAAATGAGCTGGATGTCACTCTGACGGCATCACCTCAAAATGATTCATTCACTGAATCATCCAAAATCGAGTACGTGCCGGCCACTGGGCTGGAAGCCGCCATCCCTCTTGATAGCGCTACAGTGTGCGTCAAGATGGACCCGGATAGGCCACCGTCTTTTTCTCCGCTTGCGGAAACGGTGAACGTACTGGCAAAGACTTCGTAGCGATCTCAAGTAAGACGGCAGGAAATGATTGAACTTATGTCTTCAAATTCCAAAACCGCTGAATCTTCTGATTATGACACCGGCAGTGTGGTCTCACAAAAGACCGGTCTAACTATTGTCGACTCCAAAGTTAACAACCTCACTTTGGAAACTCCGAAATTCACTCACCTCAAGAGCAGTGAACGAAGAAGGTTCAAGGCGATTATGTCGTAAGGTCATAGCAGAGCAGAGGCTCTAAAAATCGCCACGCAGTCCTCGTCTGCGAATAAGCGAGTCAGATCGGATGAGCAATCTCCCGGTTTGATTTCCGCTAAACAATCTAAGGTGGCTCATGTGGGGCTTATCAAGCCATCGTACCTAGCTGTTAAGGGCGTACGTTTAGGCTTCACGTCGGTTGATCCGGCTGGCACTTCGCTTCTCCAAGAAGCCATCATTGATGTTGTTATCAAGCATGGAGTGTACTGATAAAATATAAATAAAACTTGCGTAGTTTAAGTAGAAAATATTCAATCAGTAGTATTGTCTTTTCTATACTTTGGTCTACAATGATTCACTGTTACCTGGATATACTTCACGCGGGTGCGTGATTCCTATCAGAAAAAAAGTTCCAGTAAAATAAAAAACTTTTTTGGTTAAAGTAAGTACTTAGTATTGTTGCATAAGATAAAAATGAACTGTAGACAATATCATAAGTTATTTATTATATCGTATATATACTTATCAATATCTTATCTAAGTATATATATATCTTACATAGTATTTGGAAATTCATCACCCTCAGATAATAATCTTTTAGCATGATTAATGTTGAACAAAATCCTCGACTACTTCGTTTCTACACAATACTCTTTTTATAACCCTACTTAGTCGTTTATAATACATTAAGTGTCCTTTAGGCATTAAGGCAGATAAATTGTCTCCCACATGTGTCGTTCAATTGCATTTATTGCAATTTTAAATCCTGTCTGTACTTAGATGGATAAACTTAAAAATTTTTGCAATTGTTATTAGTATTCGAAAGCAGAAGGTATGCGACGAGGTAGTTTTAAACTTTAAGTATGTAAATTTTTAAACTGAAAACAATATTTTACAAAAAAATCTTCCGCTCCAACGTACTTACAAAAGGAGCAAATCGATTAGTTTAGTAAAATATTTGCCCATTTGTTGAATCAGTGATACGTATTGTAGGTTCTCCACACAGGATGCTAGAAAAGGATGGACAGGAAGGTCAAGTACGAAGCAGTTGCATAAAACAATTTCTTAATTTTATAAACAATATTTTGAAATACAAAACTGTACTATATTACTTGCTTTTAATATTAATATTTTTTTAACATTTTTTTTCATAGGCCGACTTTAGCTGTTAGTGAAATTGCAAACAAAAAAAAAATTGTGAATACAATTTTTGTATTTAAAACAAACTGGAAAGTATTGCGACCATAAAGGTAATGAAGACCTTTCTGGATAACTGAAAACTGCTATCACTGACGCTGCAAATGAAAATTTCCATAAAATTCTACATAAAAATTCTTATTTTAGGCTATTTTGGTGCTAAAATTTTTGACTTGATCTGAGTTTTACTTTTCGTTCAACAGATCTGACTCTCAATATCAATCTTTTTTTAGTTTAGCTCGGAGGTTAAAAGTTCTTATCAAACAATGAAGAGAAGTCTGCCATAAATAGATACGATGAAGAGTTTGACGGGATGATTTATTTTAACAGGTTTAAAAATTTGGAGCATCATAGGGAAAA